CATTCTTTTATATAATACTTATTATTTCTATTATACTAACAAACAAAGCAAGTGGTTCGGTTGGTAAAGCGCGCATGATTTAAGTGGAGGGACCTGGGTTCGACCCCAGGTCCAACAAATTTTGTTTTCTTATTTTCTTTCTACAGATCATGTACATCACCATCCCAAGCGTCTACCATGTACTACAACCATCCAGCCAATTGATCGTTGTTGATTCAAATCCAGCGTTCTACCAAAGAATGACCATGGTGCACCATCAGAAAGGGCCAGCACTGGATCTCTCGCATTGGTTGGGCTCAGCAGTTATTGGGCCCAAAGACAAATTTCAGCATACACTCTCATTCTTCCATACAGGCCCATTCTATTCTTTTTTATCTTAATTTCTTTTTAATTATTTTCTAACTATTTTCCTTTTAAAAATAACATCAAATTATTTCTTTTTATTACTAAATCAAAAATCACAAAAATACCAAAAAATATTTTTTCATAAAATATTTATTTTCTTTAATTAATTAATTTAATTAAAAATTAGGATAATTTAACTCTTTTTTTTAATTAAGATCAATTAGAAATTAGGGTTTAATTTTGTATATAATTAATTTTTTTTCTTCAAAAAATAACTTAAATATTCTTCTCAATTAGATTTTTAGGTTTTATATTTATCCTCGCATTTAATTCGTCACGCGCATTTTAATTATCTTTTTTTACTATTTTTGTAACTGCTCCGAGTTTGTAATAGTTTTAATTAGGTTTTAATTCCGCCTTTTATTTACAGTTAAAATAATTATGTATCTGCGAAAGCCATGTAATAGCTAGAAATTTAAACTTTCCGCATTTTAATTCCCGCAAATTTAACTGTCTAGATGCATGGCTAATAGGATTGTATGGAAAGACTAATTGAAAATTAAAACGGTAGAAAACCCTAAATGTGCAAAGACAAATTAACTAAAAAATTCACTCGCACATGCTCACTCCTAGGGTTTACTCCACTCCGGTTGCCTTTGGTAAACGATCATGAAGTATATGGTTTGTTAGTGGTTGTCCTCTAGCCCCGAAAGATCTCAAATGACTCATTCGGATGTTGCCTCGGAGAAAGATCTTTAAGGCTTTAGGATGATTACTAACACCTCCTAACATTGCTTTTGTGACCGTATCTGTCCTTTCGAATGTCCCTAAAAACTCCAATGAAGGTGCTACCTATTTCTCAATAATGGAATAGCATTGCCTAAAAAAGGAAAACGAACTGTCTTTTTCGAGTAGGTAGATTAGTTCTTAAGTACTTGCTCAAACAAACAAACTTTTTCACACCAAACACTTTTCAAACAAAGTTTTCAAAAACAACTTCGTAACACTCTTGAGGACAGAAACAAGTATTAAAACGAAGTAAACGAAACTTTTCAAAACAAGCACACACACAAGCAATTTTAAAATGAGCAAGTACCTAAGAGCCTGTGGAAAACCACAGATAGAAAGGATGCTAACACCTTCCCTTTCTATAATCTACCCCCCGTACTCAGAAACATCTCGAAAAAGGTTTTTTCTGTTCTTTTTCCTTTTCCTGATTGGATAAAATAAAAGTCGGTGGCGACTCTTGCTTACCGCGACATTTGCGAATAAAAAAAGCAAACCAGTATTAACAGTCGGTTCTATCACCGTATCACAATGACTAGATAGCAGTCAGCCTTATTATCCTCAGCAAGTCGCTGTGAAGCCTGGATCCCGACCAGAGCGCAGTTCACTTTCGTCTCTCCAACCAAGAGATGACTCCCCAATAGAGTAAATGGACAACTGAAGCTCCTAAAATCTAATTCCTAAGACAGAGACCAACATTCCTCATCGGAGTCCTCCTCAACAACAAGAATAGGAATCCCCACAAAGGAATGTCTCATGAAATCAACATTTTCATCTAGATGACATCTTTAAGCCCATCTCCGACGAATCTCCGTCGTATTCTCTGGATGGCATCTTTAAGCCCATCTCTGATGATCTTCCATCATCTTCTCCAAAGGGAATCTATAAGCCCATTCTCGATATTATCTACACAGTCAAGTGTCATTTCAGACGAGTGCAAATTTCTGGGTACTCTAATGTTCAATCATCTTCCACCTTCAGATCACGAAAGACAGACCAACCAATCTACATCCTCAGGTTTAAGAAGATTGAACTGGGGCAGCTGTTGTACCCCAAAATTTTCCCTCTCATTTTACTCAAGACATGTCCATTGAGGTCCCCAACTTGCCCTAGGATGACTAAGAATTGACCAGACAAACTCTCCTCCTAAGGCAATAAACCTCTAACTAGGGTTTCAGTTTTCATCAAGATGTGTGAGTCCCAAGGGTATCAAATGTTTTCCATAGCCCTAATATGTCCTCAAGGTTATCCATGCTAAATTTCATGCCCTACACAACAAGTTTGCCTAATCAATTGCTCAAATGCCTGAAAATCAATTGTACTAAGTCAAAAGTCAATTGTGGCCTATATACAGTCAAACTTCAAGATTTTTGGTCAACATCAATATTTTGAAATGATATCCATCATTTGATAAAGGGTTGATCATGATTCCTCAAAAAATGCTCATAATTCATCAAAAGTCAAAAATGGCATATTAGGGTTTCTATAGGAAAAGTCAACCAAACTTTGACCAAGCATAACTTTCTCATACTTTATCAAAAAAATTTCCACCAAAACTTATTTTGAAGAGAATTCAATTCCATACAACTTCTTTTCAGCCCTCAGGATCAAGAAATGCCCCATTTAAAAGATACAAGCTCAGACATTATAGGTCTTTTCAAAAAGTCAACAAAAACACATTTTCAGTCAAAACTCCTTACATGAACATGGAAGATCCAATTGAAATAAAACCAAAAGGGTTGCTTATAGGACATCATAAGCTCTCTAAAAAGTCCAAGAGCACCCTCTTAAGGTTAAAAATGAGAGAGATATCATTGTTAAAGTTGACCAATTTTTGGAAAAGTGCATGAAGCCAATATTGACCAAACTTGATTTTTTTCCAAATCGGCTTATCTTCTCATGCTTGAAACTTGTTTCTAACATGACCCACAACCTCTGAGCTCATTCATACATTATTTTACTATTTATACTATTTATTTTGATATTTTATCCATTAAAATACCAAATTAAATAAATAAATAAAAGAATAATGGAAGATATGATTTGGAATCTTTTTCTCATCAAATAAGGGACAAAATATGCTCGCATATCAAGGGAAGCTCGTGGAAAAAAAAAGATTGGATTTGTTCTAAAAAGCCAAAAAATCACATAATTGAAATAATATTTTTTCTCATCAAAGCATGGATATTCTTCCATATTTGTTACCCTAACTTGGTCCCATATATATGCACAACAACTCCAGACCTAAAGGACACGCGCAGTTGGTCCCAAAAGAACCCTAATATTTCTCAAAAAATTTCAAAGAGTGGTGCCATTCTTATTCATATTTGCAGCCAGTTTCAAAGTCTTCTAACCATTCCTTTGTATTCCCGAGGTAAGCATAGGTAAGTATGGATCATTATCCATAGCCATAGCACGCTGAAACTCACCATGCATGACTCATATTTTCATATTTTTTGGCTTTCGTATTTTTCATTATAGCTCGTTTCAATCCGTTCTAACTCCATTAACATGATCACAAGATGATAAGGAACGGGTCAGGGCAATCGTTGATAAGCTTTTATGGCTAAATAGCCATTTGTTATTGTTAGGGCATGTTGAACCTGAGCTTTCTTTGAGTCGACTCATAAAATGTAAATTTTTAAAATTACCAATTCTTAAAGACTTTTCATGCTACTTTGTTAACCATATCATCTAGCAACATTTCCAACATAGTTTTGACATCATTGAAATCTTACCCTCACAGAAAGGCATCGGGTGTTTTATGTGATGCAAAGGTACCGCTCAAGCTAAAGGGAATGTTTTAATCAGACTGCGGTAAAACCTACGATTTTGTATGGGACAAAATATTGGACGGTTAAGAACCAACACGAGAATAAAGTAGGTGTAGCGGAGATGAGGATGTTGCGGTGGATGTGTGGTAAGACTCGACGGGATAAAATTAGAAATGAAATTATTAGAGAGAGTGTTGGAGTAGCGTCTATTGTAAAGAAGATGGTGGAAAATAGACTTAGGTGGTTTGGGCATGTAAAGAGAAGATATGTAGACTCTATAGTAAGGAGAGTAGATCAGATAGAGAGAAGACAAATAATTCGAAGAAGAAGAAGACCCAAAAAGACTATAAGAAAAGTTATCAAGAAGGATCTTGAAATTAATGATTTAGATAGAAGCATGGTTCTTAATAGAACATTATAACAAAAATTAATCCATGTAGCCGACTTCACCTAGTGGGATAAGGCGCCGTTATAGTTGTTGTGTTCAATTTTATTTCAGTATGTTGAGAATAGTAGTCAATGTGACTATATGTTAACAGATACAATATAAAGCTAGCTGCATAAAGTGTAAAAGTGCATCACACACACTTCATATAAATCTATTCATTGGAAAAAATCCTTTTGGCTAAATAAGAACCTGCAACAAGAAAAATATATTGTAGAGACAGATATTAAATAACTATATTGAAGATCTCAACTTTTGTAACATAACAACTTATTGTAGTATACAACATTGAGATGTAGTGAAATTGTATAATGATGCATAATAATCACAGCGGTTTGTTACTATGGCATCATTAAACACCTAACTATTTTCATGTTGATATCTTTCAAGCATCCAGACCTCTACCAAAACTAGAAAGATACAATCTACCAAAAAACACTTAGGATTTGAGACAAAATGAGAGAGAAAAAAAAGAAATACAAAATCTTAGGGCATGTTACATTCTAATAAATGAGGGAAATAGTATATATATCATCTTCTATGGCTTCCCAAATCTTATCATTTTGAGTGATAAAATAGACTTCCAAATATCTCTTAAATGTATTAACCATAACAAAAAAAAGTTAAAGAGATTGAACTTTTTCACCATCTTATGTTGCAATAGACGCCGGAGAGTTGGATTGCACCCACGAGACTAAATCATCCTTCGTTGCAATAAAAGAACCAACTTTATCCTCGCTCTGCCTAAATGGAGCATCCAACTTTCTCAAATGAGAGGCAAATGAAATATTGAGTCCATGTGCAAACTTATGAGCACCGGTACCGGTTTGTGCTAGGAATAGGTCTGGTAATGCCTCCTCCCGCCTAACAATTTTGGTGAGTGTAGCCATCCACTCTTCAAGTGCGGTTAGAGCTGCCCCAACAGACAATCTTCGAACGTCTAAACACCACTCATATTGTGATTTGTGGTGCAAACTTGGGTAGAATCCATATAAAGATCCTAGGTAGAGCAATTCGTGGGCTCTCCCTAGGAGATCTTTGTTTCTACATATGTCGATCAAGCAGTTACAAAAGGGTGTTCTCACCTCAACCACGGCATTGCTCATGATACCCCTAAACTCTTCCTTGACAGTCTCAAAACTAGTTTGCTCATCTACGATCAATTGAATAAAGGCAACCAATTTTGGGTTAGCTCGCTGCAAACAAGCAAGGACTTTTTCCTGATCCTTGCTACCCTGAGAAAGAGACACAACAGATAGCAAGCAACCACATAGCTTATCATCTGGCTTAACTCCTCTCTCAACATAAATGTCAAAAACTCTAACCAAAGCATCAATTTCCATGGCCTTTCCCAAGCACTGAATCAAACAAGTGCACCCCATCACATTGAGTTCAATACCAAACTTACACATCTCTTCAAACAATTTGATTGACTTATCTACATTTCCTTCACTCCCATATATGTTTAACATAGCCGTGTAACTCCAACTATCTGGCTTGCATTGCTCTGACTGTTTCATATCCCTGAACAAAGTTTCAGCTTCTTCAACTAATCCAACATCTGCACACATATTCAACAATGTATTATACAAAATAAAATCCATAGGCCAACCGTTTTCTTTCATTCGTTGCCACACTTCCAGAGCATCTTTAGACCACCTGGCCTTTCCATATATCTTAATTACCGCGGTTAGAGTCTTCTCATTCGGGGCTATCCCCGAGTCAATCATTTCTTCAAACAAGCTCCTCGCAAATCCCGGCTTCCCAGCCTTTCCCGTTGCTTCTATCAACGTATTGTACACAACTAAATTAGGCTGCAAGCCAAGAGATTTCATCTCCTGCAAAACATACCTAATACCATAAAAATCCCCGGCCTCCCCAAACATCTTCCCCAACACAGAACACGTAATCAGATCGGGCTTCCACCCAGTTGCTCTCCCTCTCTCAAACAAACTAATAACCACTTCAACCTTACCTAACCTAGCATAAACACCTAAAATAGCCGAGAAAGTTACCTCATCCGGCATCAACCCCGTCTTGTACATCCTCTCAAACCAATGCTCAGCTTTGTCAAAAAGGTTGCACTTGTTAGCACAAGTTATGATAGTTGAATAAGTGACATTATCCAGTTCAACCCCATTATCAATCATCTGGTGTGCAAGTTCTTCTATAACCCCAAACTGTCTCCCAAACCTCAAAGACTTCATTGTAACATTATAGAACATAGTTTCCATGGGAAGCAAATCCTGATTCTTGATCCAATTGAGAAACATATGCGTCTTCTGCCACGGCTTCAAACTATTGAGAACCAATAAAGCATTCTCTCTCGTAAGAGAACTCGGAATTTCTTCCAAACAAGCCATGAATTCGGCTTCGGAAGAGTCATCACAGTTGTTCAATTTCTGAGCAAAACGTTGAAATTCTTTCATCTGTGGATTATACAATACAGAGGAACGTTTGTGTCTCTGTTGAGACAACAGATGACGCTTGGCCTTAGTAGGGTTGGCCCATGTGGGTTTTGGCTTTGATAAGACCTTAGGTAGGTTTTCTGGGAGAGTTGGTAACGTTGTGTTTGCAAGAGGAGCGAGTTGGTCGGATAAAGATGAGTTTTTTATGTTGTTGTTTGGTGGGGTGGTTTCGGAAATTGGAACATTTGAAGTGGATTTGGAGGAAATGGTGAAGAATTTTCTGTGGGATTTTAAGATGGAGAATCGTGTTCGTGTTGTTTTGGTGTCGACGAAGGAGATGTGGATGACCGAAGAGAGGGATGTAGCCATTAGAATAGGGTTGAAGTGGAACCAGGCAGTAAGGATATTTGTTTTGTGACCTTATCTCATTTTTCAAAATGGAAGTGGTGGAAAGAGAAGAGGATGTTTTAAGGATTTGGTTTTTTTTGTAAAGAGAAAAAACAATTGTGATAGTTTAAAATATTATTTTATCAGTTTAATGGTAGTGCTGACAAGGGTATAAAAATATTACACACATTCAATTGGAATATTTTAAATTGTCATATTATAAGAGTATTTTAAAATTTCCAGTGTGGTTTGACGCTAATTGGTTGACGGTGTAAAAATAGTTGTAATTGATTGACGGTGTAAAAATATTTTATACTATCAGTGCATCATCTATTTTCTCTTATTTTATTTAAAATAAGTTAAAATTTTAAATTTATTTCCATTAAAAGTATTGGTATCTAATTAAAATTAACATAATTTAAAAAATAATCTATGAAATTTATTATATTTTATAACTAAATTAGTGTTAGTGTATGAGACATTTTTAGTGAGTAGAGAATGAGAAGATTTAATGAGAGAAATTGTATTATTAGAAAAATGTGTATTAATACAAATAAGTTATTTATATACTATGTAAATAACATAACAAACCTTAACCCTAATTATCTTAGGCTTGGACTACTTAACTTTATAACAAATAACTAACTTGGATTTTTTTCTCAACATACCCTTTTATAATTTAAATTGTCGAACATAAACTAATCATAGTCGATCTGAACTATTTCTAATTTCTTTCTCAAATTCCAGAATATGTCGATCTTCAATCATTTGGTGAAAATATCGGTCAACGGTGTTTCACTTGAGCAAGTTCACCTTGATTTGCCTTCTCTTTTAAGAAGGGAAACTAGCTTCGATGTGCTTATTCCTTCCATGCAAAACTGGATTATTTTCAAGATTTATGACTGACTTGTTGTCGATCTGCAACACTAGAGGTTTTTTCACTTTGACATCCATCTCTTCCAGCACATATTTGATCCAAACTGCTTGATACACAACATAGGATCTTGCTATATATTCAACCTCACACTATGATAATGTCACCATATGCTGCTTTCTCAAGCACCATGAGATTGGGGCACCAAATACTTGAAAGAAGTAACTAGTTGTGCTTCTCCGATCTTCCTTATCTCCACACAAATCAAAATATGAATATCAAGTAATTATAGCTTCTTTTCTTTTAGAATATCGTGGAAACAGAAATCCATAATATATCGATCCTTTTAGGTAACTGAGGATTATTCTTGCAGCCTTCATGTGTGACACTTTTGGTTCACTCATGTATCTGCTCACCAATCCCACTGAGAAATATATATTAGATCGACTGTTATACACATATGTTAGAGATCCGACAATTTGTTTGAACAAAGTTGCGTCGACTTTGTCCTCCTTTCCATGCTTCTCTAGTTTCAAATTTGGTTCGACAGGTAAATATGCAGGATTCAAATCATTCATTTTGAATCTCTTGAATATCTCTTTGACACACTTCCTTTGATGCATCACCATCCCTTACTTGGTAATTTGGAATTATATTCCTAGGAAATAAGACAAGTTTCCCAAATCCTACATTTAAAATTCTCTCATCATCAGTTATTTGAACTTCGACAAGTTCTCCAAGAAATTTCCAATTACTATCAAGTCATCGGAATATAATCAAATTATGGTTATATCTTGTGCCATGACCTACACATAGAAATTATATTCATATTTGTATTTGATGAATCTCAATACGATTAAGTATGAATCAATTTTCTTGTTCCATGTCCTAAGTGTCGGTTTGAGGCTATAGAGGGCTTGTGCAACTTGTACACATTCCTTGCTTCCTCTTATATCACAAACCTAGGAGATTGTGTAACATATACCTCTTCATCTAAAGGACCATTCAAAAATGGTGATTTCACATCTAAGTGAAATGTCGACCAAATTTGCTTACATCCCAAGGTTACCACCAATTTGATAGTCTCCAATCTTGCAACGGGTGCATATACTTCAAAATAGTCGAGTCCTTCTCTGTGAATAAATACTCGAGCTACCAATATTGCCTTATGTCTTGCTATCGACCCATCAACATTATGCTTCAACTTAAACACGCACTTCACTTGAATATCTTTTTTGTGTGTCTGTGATTCCATTAGCTCCCATGTGTTGCTTTTATTGATCGCTTGTAACTCTTCGACCATATATGACTTCCACTGTTTATTCTTCAAAGCCTCACCATAGTTGATTGGTTCAGCACTTGCAAGTAGGGGTGTTCAGAACCAAATCGGCCCAATAGAAAATCGCAAACTGAGCCGAACCAAATTGAAACCGCAAAAAACTGCATTTGGTTCATTTTCTAAAGGAACCGTGCGGTTTGGTTCAATTTGTGGTTTGTATTTTGCAAATTGAACCAAACCAAATAAAACCGCATTATGTTATAAAATCTTACTAACCAATATATTTTTATTTAATTCTTTAGAGAAGTCAACATGTATTATGTGTATATTTTATCATACTTTGTGTGATATTTATTTTAATTTACAAATCATAAAAAATAAAATATTATTCATTTATAAATACTATTTTCACAAAATATATTTTATCGTATTCTTTGTATAATATTTGTTTAAGAATGCAATCTTGTCTATATCATTCTTTAGATTTAGATAAAATTATAATACGCAATTTTATGTATCAAATTATAAACTTATTTTGACAATAATAATTTTTTTATGGTAATATATGAACAATTAAACACAAAATTATATTTTCCTCTATATGTGTATATATGGCTTAATAATATTTTTGTAAAAAACCGAACCAACCGAACCAATCTAAACCGCATTAGTTTGGTTTGGTTTGATTTTATTTTATTTTTAAAAGCCAACTGAACCAAACCAAACCGCATGTTTTTTTCTCTTGTGGTTCGGGTGATTTTTTGCTTCAAAGCCGCCCAAACCGCACCGCGAACACCCCTACTTGCAAGTAAAGCAAAATAAACTAAATCTCCATCTGTTGTAACTTCATCATCACTAACCACTTCATAGTCTTGAAGCCTTGCTGGAATAACTCTAGTTTTTTGTGGTCTTTAGCTTGTACTAGCCACACCCTCTCAATTATCTTCTCATTAATTGGATTAAATAGTCTGTATGCTCCAATTTTGTGATATCCTACCAGAATCATAGGTTCACTTTTGTCATTATGCTTTCTTTTTCTCGCATCAGGGACATGATTGTAATAAAATAGAGCCAAACATCTTCAGATGACTCACTGATGGTAGTTTTCCCCTCCATACTTCTTCAGGAACCTTGTTTCTCAGTTTCTTGATAGGGCACATGTTCATAATATAGAAAACAGTGGTGATTGTTTCACCCTATAGGGATTTTGGCAGATTCTTCTGCTTCAGCATGCATCTCGCATATCCAATATGGTCATGTTTCTTCTTTATGCTATTCCACTATGTTTAGGAGTATAAGGAGAAGTTACCTCATGATCGATAGCATCTTCTGTACATAAATCTTCAAATATCTTTGATGTATATTCGCCACATCCACCTATTCGCAGAACCTTGATCTTTTTTTAACTTTGGTTTTTGGCAAGTATTTTGAATCTCTTAATGATTGCAAATACTTCATATTCGTGCTTGATCACACAGATCTAAATATTTGAAATATAGTCATTGACAAACAAAACAAAATACATGTTTCCACTAGTGGTATGCTCCTCGAACGGGTCACATACATCTGAATGTACAACTTCGAGTATGCAGAAGGATCTCATTGGCATAGTTAAAACAAAATATTTTATGGGTTGCTTCCCTACTAAGCAACCTTCACAAAGTTTGTTGGATATCTCAAGACTTGATATAATTGTTACCATATCTTGAGGAATCAGTTAATTGAGTGACCTAAAATTCAAATGGCCAAACCTCAAATTCCATAGCCAACTACTCTTATAGCCGACAACTGTTTTTAGGCATTGTACCCCAATCAAATTGAACATGGTCTTAAATATCCAATTCTTCAACAAATGGGATTTTAAGCCTAGATTATTTTGAGTTTCGAACAACTTCAAATCTCCATCTTTTATAACCACTGAGAAACCTTTTTCGACCATTGTCCAACACTTAGCATATTGCACTTCATTTAAGGTACATACAGTACATCTTTGATCATAACTTTTGATCAATTTCTCTTTTGAGTAACTATGTCACCAGTACCTTATTCTTGCAACGAGCTATTATCAGCAAGTTTGACCTTGCTCTTCTTCGACTCGTCGAAATCTTCTAACCACACTTTTCTCCCAGTCATGTGATTCGACCAGCCCGTGTCAAGAAACCAGATTTTGGTGTCGACATGCTCATATGAATCTTAATGTGCAAGGTTCGCTCCTTCATTATTTCCTTTTATCACTCCCTTGTCTTTATTGTACCAATAATTCTTGACCAAATGACCCCACTTTCATAGTTATAGCATTGCACACCTTTTTTCTCTTCTTTGTCTTTTTATAGGAGTTTCCTTATCCTCTTATCAAGGATTCAAAGGCCTTATCATCGACCTTATGCTTTTAAGGATTCACCAAAGACTTATTGCTATGAGTCTTGTCTCCTTTTCCTTTGAACTTGTTGGAACCACCATACTTATTCCATGTGTGGTGTTGTAGATCTTGTATTGAATCTTGAACCTCTTTCCTCTCGACAATCTGTAACTCATATGCCTCCAACAAACCAACCAAATCTTCCCGATTTATGGTTTCAACATTGTTGGATTTTTGAATAGCTATAATAACATGATCAAAGTGATAGGTCAATATACATATTACCTTCTCAAATATCATCTTGTCAGCAAGGGTTTCACCACAACCTTTCACGAGAAGAATGAAATTCTGCTCCTACCAGACATAGTCTGCAATTATTTCTTCTTCTCCCATCTGCAATAACTCATACTGCCTTCACAGTGTCCACAACTTGAGAGTTTTAACCTTCTCACCTCCTTCATAATACTTAA